GGGATTGGCGCGGGCAGACGGGAGAGACGGTGCAGGGCGCCGCGGCGTTTCCTCCCGAATACCTTCCGTTCTCCCGACGACACCCGGTAGGTGCGGTCAAGCGAGTTCCAGACGGCACGTTTCGCAGCGGCGAGCGCGCCCGGCTACGAGGCGCGGTATGTAGGTATATATATATATATATATATATATGTCCATCTATCTAACCAGCGGCGTGCGAGCCATGCCTTGTGTGGGATTCCCACAGTGGGATGGACTCTCCGCGTCATCGCGCGGCCGCCGCGCCGGCCGCCTACGGCGTGTCCCGAAAGTTTTCGTCGTAAATCAAGCCCGGGCTCCGCGGGCGCCCGCTGCGACGTGGATTCAATCCGGCGAGCTATCGTTCGCCGTTGCGTTAGATAAGGGGAGGTGAGAGCGGAAAGATACGACAATTAGATAAGTACGGGGAGGCGGGGGGGGGCAGGGGATTGGCGGGCTGAATGTACCGCGGTATTAAATCTCGCGTTAAACCCCCGTTGATCGAACGGGAAAACGGGGACGCGGCGCGATTCAATGAAGAGGCGTCGGATTTCGAGGATTTCAGCTTGGCGGGTAAAATCCCGCCGATACGAGGGAGCCCAGCCACCTCGGGCTTTCCACCTCGCGCGGAAACGCGAGACTCGCGTTCATCATCCGCCGTTGCTTCTGGGCGCCGCGGCTTTCGCGGCGAACGTTAGTCGGAATTATCGGATTCTAACGATCGACGGCGAATTGGCGGTCTTACGCGATGCCGTTCGCGCGAATAACGCTCGAATCGAATCGGGGGTGAGAACGACGGGGCGACGGGCGTGGAATTCGTTCCGCAAACGCCGCGTCTTCCCCTCGACGACGCGGTCGCGCGGCGAGGATGTCGTCCGGCCGCTAACGCCGGATCTGAAACGAACGTAGGCGAGATCGCTCGGAAAGAAGTGATATCACCCTCCTCCCGCCGAGAAAGTCGCCGCGGTGAGCGCGCACGGACCACTGGATATAGGCACCGCAGCGTGCGCGCGGAGTTGAATCGTCTGCCCCTCGGGGGACAGAGGGGTCCCCCCTCGCATCTTCCTCCTCCCGCGTGTGCCCGGCTACTTCTCACGCATCCGAACGACCTTTCGTGTTCATGGAATCTCGCGCGATTCCATCGACTCTCCCGCGTGCGAACGCGCCGGGCAGCACGCGAGAGAGCGAGCTCTCGCTCCGGGCGGGTAAGAGGGACGTCGAGAGGCAGAGGGGCGTCCGACGAGCAAGAAGAGGCGGCCTCCTTATTCGCAGGCGTACCTAACTAGGAGAGCCCCGGGTACGGCTGTACGCGAGAACCCGCGGACGCTATTATTCCGGACGCGCGCGGCACGGCGGAGAGAGATAGAGAAAGAGAGAGAGAGAGAGAGCGCGCGCGCGATGAAAAATACGCTCGCTCCCTCGCCCGGCCGTGACTCCGCGATGCACGGTGGTGAGCCGTTGCTTATCGATGCCCCGGGTCGATACGAGGCGGCGGAGAGCGCGGTAACAACGTCGCGCACACGGCGAATCGGGTTTTAAATTAAAAACTCGCTCGCTAATTCTGCTCGTTTCGCGTCGGCTCCGGCTGAAACTCGCGGCTAGCCGCGCACTAGCGGCGAGAGAGAGAGAGAGAGAGAAAGAGAGAGAGGGAAGAAAAAACTGACATTTTCCTATGAGAACGCGGAAAACTATCACGAGGTATCGTGTTGTAATATACCGATGTAAAGGAAGGATTTGACGCGCGCGCGCGTGTGATTTCGGGCGGTTCCGTTTGACGCGGCGCCGTTTTCTTTTTAATTGCGGACGCGTTGACGCGCGAACGCGCCTGCGATTGGCACTTGAAAATTTCTGCGTAAAAGTTCGCCGCTGAATCACTTCCGTCTCCTCCGAGTCGGAGATTTTGACCCTCCGGTCGTCGCGCTATTTTTAATACGAATCCGGCGCGTCGCGGCGTCAAAGATTTCGATTGTCAATTGTATTGTCCCTCGCGTCGAACTGGAGTACTTTCTTCGTTTAACGAGGCCCTCGGACAGGCAGAGCGTAAGATAAGATCTATTTTGGAGATAATGTTTATCTTGCAAAATTCCGCGCGACCGGGGGGTTAAAAAGACTACGCGCGGAAGTGTCTTCTATCTCCCTTGCGGTATTTTTGCTACGACTATTTTATACATGCTGAGCTCTTCCTTTTGCATCCTGTACGCAGCATATATAAATCCCTCTTGCATTTTTAGCGACAAATATCGGAACGTCTCTTTGTCACGTAACGTGCGCGCCAGCGAAGATCCGTTATTAAATTATTCCGTTCCATCAAATTAAGAAGTAAGGTTTTACAACCGGAAAGCCCGACGGCGCGAGAGCAGCGTTGCGTCAAAGAGTATATCCGCGCATTTCGCGGTCCCCTCCAAATAATATCACGCAAATATAAAAGCATTTAATTAAACGATTTAATTATCCCTCTATTTTTCGAAAGGGCGGGGGAGAGAGAGAGAGAGAGAGAGAGACCCGATATTTCGCGCGCGGCTTCATTACGTTACGCGAAGCACCTACCATGAACGCGCCGTTAATCGTCCTCGCGCGTCGCGCCGCGCCGCGACGCGCGTTGTCCCTCCCGCCTCCCCTTCGCCCTTCAGCGCAATCAAAAAGTACGCGGGTCGAAATAATGACCGTTTCATTCGAAACTCCGCGATTTTAGCTGGCGCGCGTCGCAGCCCCGGCGCTCCACCGACCCGCCGCTCACGCACGCACGCACGCACGCACGCAAGCACGCACGCTTGCACGTTCGGTCGCTCGCTCACTCGCTCACCCATACATTCGCGAGGCAGCGTACGCACGGCACCGCGTTCGATCTCGTTCGCACGCACGCCTCGTCGAGCCGACCCGGCGCGCACGTGTGGGTAACGCGCTTCGTGGCGCGCGTGCCGACGACGACGAGGCCGTCTCGCTCCCTCGCGGCTCTCCGTCGCACGCCTCGTCGCCGCCCGCGCGTCTCTCTCGCTCCGCTCGTTCTCCCCCCGTGTCCCGCTCCCCGCCGAAGCGGCCGCCGCCCCGAGGGCTCATCGCTTCGGCGAGCCGAACGGCGGCACGGTTTGAGCTCCCACCGTCACGCCGCCTTCCCTCCCCCCTCTCTCTTTCTCTCTCTCTCTGTCCCCCTTTCGCCTGCCTACCGACCACGGCCCGTCGCCTCGGCGTTTTTCGCTCCCCTTCCTCCACTTCACCTCCTACTCGTGCGGTCGTTTCGTCGCACACGACGTGCCGTCGCCGCCGCCGCCGCGCCGCCGCCGCCGCCGTCGCCGCCGCTGACTTTTCGCGCGCGTTGCGAGACGGGGAGATTAAAGGCCGACGCGCGCGCGGAACCCGACGATCCTTATCGCGTGCCGCGCCGCGCGATGCGTAGAATCGCGCGCGACGACTCGTCTCCTTTCTCTCTCTTTCTCTCTCTCTTTCTCGTGGCCCGGTTGGTGTTACCAACGTGAATCGCGCGCGACTTACCATTTGCGTTGACGCGTAAGATCGATATCGGCGATCCGCTAAATGTCAGCGATACATTCCGCGGATAATCGCCCCGGCAAACGGAAAAGCGCGAGCATTCTGCGCTCGAGGCGGATGTCCATCTCTCCCGTTACTTTTGTAAATTATACGAGAGTCGACACTTAAAATTACTCCTTCGTCCGAGTCGACGCTTTCGACGACATCCGACGATTCCCTCCGACCCTCGCCACTGAGATTTTCGCCACGGTTATTTTTATATTGTATGTTTAACGGTTTTTCGTGTCGTTATTTACGTTGGATCGTCACGTAAGTAACGTGGCTTTTTCGATATTCCTGAGAGGAGGCAAGAATTTGACTTAATTTTCATCCGAAATGTATTTTTCAGCGTTATTTGCAACTTCCTCCCATCTCGATCTTAAATTTCCAGCTCCCTGGCGATAGAAATTTCTCGGTTTCGAGTTAAGGAATGAATCGGGCTTTCTTCTATACGGCATTGCTCATGGAACGAACCGATACGTGCGTGTTGCATTTTTGAGAATTAAATGAGCAACTATCAAAAGCTCTTTGTCAAATAATGCGATCGACTACGTGTATCCCGCGGAATCTCACGTGGGCAATTAAAAAAAAACGAAGAGGGGACGACTATCCTTCACGCGCTATCCATCTCCGCGAGCATAAACGCATTTAGCTGGCGCTCACCGCGCGCAGCGAGTTTTAATTCTCATTTACCCCGAAACCGGAGAGGCGGGGGCACAGCCGAACCAGGCATCGATTAAAAAAAAGGAAGCGATAGAAAAAGAAATAGAAAGAAACGGAGAGAGAGAGAGCGAGAAAGAGAGAGAGAGAGAGCGCGCGCGAGAGAGAGACGGGAGAGAGTGGAGAAAAAGATCCACTGATATCCAAATCGGTTCCTGCTTCGACGCCGCTTCACGGTGGCTAGGCAATAAAACGGCCCTGAGAGAGACGGAGGCACGACGTGGCGCGCGACGAGGACGCGGCCGCAAGCGAGCGAACGGGCGCGCGAGAGAAAGAGAGCGCGGGGGAGAGAGAGAGAGAGGAGGACGGGAATAGGAGACGACCGCACGTAGCCGCAGGCAAGGGCGCGCGTGAGCAGGCAAGCGAGCCTTCCGACCGATCCTCCGCCGCTACGCCGCGCCGCGCCACGCTGTGCCGAGCCGAACCTTGCCTCGCTTCGCCTCGCCTCACCTCGCCTCACCTCACCTCGCCTCGCCTCGTCTCGCCCCGCCTCGCTTCGCCTCGCTTCGCCTTGCCTCGCCTCGCCTCGCTTCGCCTTGCCGTGTCGCGCCGCGCTGCGCCGCGCCACGCCGCGCCGTGCCGCGCCGCGCCGTGCCATGCCATGCCGCACCGCGCCGCGCCGCGCCACGCCGAGCGGCGAGCCATCCGTGCTCCAGTATCCCCCGCCCCACGCACGACCAACCACGACGCGGGCCCCTCGTCACCCCGCCGTCACCCCCCGCAGCCGACGCGCGGCCTCGGCGCGCCAAGTTCGCCGCGTACAGCCGCCAGGCTACCGCTCGCCGCCTCACAGTCCGTCACCGTCGCTCGTCGTGCGAGCAACACGCGGACGTCTCCGCAGTCAGGCTGCCACGCACTGCGTGTGTTTTCATCGTCGCACCGTTGACACAGTGACGGATTCGAGTCCCGTGTTGCAGCAGCGGAGCGCACGAGGGTGGATTCCCGCGTTGCGCTCAGACTCGATACGCTCGTAAATTCGCGGTTCAGATAATCGACGCTAAAAAAAAACTGGCCGTTCTCCGCGTATCGCGGCAAGGACCTTATCCCGGGGAGGATCGAGCGGTCGCGGCTCGATCGCGATCTCGCATTGGCGAAGGCGCCCTTCAGCGCGCGCTGTCAAGGCACGAGCGAACGCGGGACATTGAACGTTGATTCGTCAGTCGCGCGACAACCCGCGAACGAGTGTGCGCCCCCAGATTGTTTATCGACCACATTATCGCAGCTCGTGAAACAGTCCCTGAAACGGGCGAGGATCGGTCGGGGAAGCGGGCGGAGCGCCACGACAGCCGCCGTTTCGCCCTGCGAGTGACAAGTGGTCGGCGACGCGTGGTTAACCACGTGGCGCGGTGTGTTGCGCCGGTGTACAGCCGCCTGGGTGGCGTGAACTTTCGCGGGACTCTCTTTCCCTTCCGGGCGCGTGTGCGCCGGGAGAATCGCGCGTGCACACACGGACGGACACAAGGTGACGAGCAGTCGTTGGCGATCGGACGTTTTTGCGGCTTCGTCCAACGATCGCTACGCTTCGCTCGGCAACTGATAAAGTTCACGGTCGATCTACGCCTGTCGGTCTCCCACGAGGTATTCGGGGAAGGGGGGGGGGGCATGGTGCAACAGTGATTAGTCCGCCGTATATCATCGCCGGTGCCAGCAACAGTCGCAAGGGTAGCGCGGGGTCCGGGTGGTGGTAGTCTGGTGTCGCCGTCGCAGGTCGCCGCGAGATGCTGAGAGCCTCGGCCGTCCAGTTCAGCCAATCACGTAGGGTGCTGCGATCCGTGCCGAGGGCCGTCGCGGCCTGCTAAGATGACCGCGCGTCTACACTCGCTGAGGCACCAGGAGAAGAAATCAGCCGGCAGCAGCCACAGACAGCACCACCAGCATCAGCAGCAGGCCGTGCATCAGGGTCCGAGCCCGGCACCGAGCCCCAGTCCCAGCCTCAGCCCGAGCCCGAAACATTCGGACGGACGAAGAGTGAGTATAAGTGGCGCGGCGCAAGCACGTAGAGATCGGTTAATCATAGATTTTAATGCGGGGCCTACAACGAGAGTCGCAGTCGTAAGAAGAATCGACTGCGACTGGTCAATTCTGTCAGGCACGTAAGAATTGACCAGTCATAGTCGACTATTCTTACGACTTCCACGTAGACGAGGCTTCCGAGTTACCCCACGATCTTGCTTTAAGTAAGCCTGCAAGCCTCAAGCCGTAAGAAATTAATCGGTCACAGGCATTTATTCCCCTCACTCTCACCTGTGTTTGGTTAATTTCTTACGGCCTAAGGCTTACAGCTTGCTCAGAGCAAGATTGTGAGCCAGGGGTTAAATGCGGGGTCTACGATGCGAGTCGCAAGAATAATCGACTGCGATTGGTCCGTACCGTCAGACACGTAAGAATTGACCAATTATAGTCGATTATTCTTGCGACCGCGACTCTGCGACTCGCATTGTTAGACCCCGCGTAAGAGCAGGCGAGTCGAGAGACCGCGCGGGGATGCGATATTCTCACCCCTTGCAGCGCACGCGACCACGCGTCCCCGGAGCGCGACTCACCCTACCTCCCGATCTGCCTCCCGCGCACTTAATCTGCGATCGTGAGGTCCGCTGCTGTGACATGAACCCGATACTGGACACGTGCGTCGTTTACACAACCGCTCGTCGTCCAGTCCCTACGTGAGAATTCGCTGATTTGTCAAGTTGGCTCTCCGAGCGTACGCGGAAAGCGCGGGCAGTTTAATACCCGCGTTAGATAAACACGAAAGGCATTGTTCGGAGAGAAAAGTCCGCTGGGGTAGAAATATGAGGTAGATTCAACTTTCTCTCACAAAGTGTTGGAGGGGGGGGGGGGATTAAAACTCTCGCTTTTCCTCCCTCGCAATGTATTCCTCTTGGTTTTAATTCGATTCCCTAAGCTACACGCGTTACATAATACTTTTCGCATCGGCTGAAATAAATTGTACTTTTTATCTGTATTTTCGAGTAAACATTTCACAGAAGACGCTCAACAAATTATATTTAATAACGCACTTGTATCACAAGTACTGCGACGAGAAAATTATTTTATGATTAATCACAAATCACTAAGATCACGTTTCCAAGATGGATACTTTTGTACGTCAAAATTGTAAAGAATTCGAAGGCAGAGAGCCGTTCAGCGTGACTCCGGGAAAAGTTGGCGATTAAAAACTTGCCGCAAAAAGGAACGCCAGCTCGGCGTTTACCTCTGACCCCGTATCCTTTCTCTAATCTCCGCCAAGTGCGTCGGTTTCGCAACGCGGCGGATTCCGCGAGATAGCGCGGATTTCGTAGGTCCGACCTTCGCTCGTTTCCGGATCGTAAAATATAAAAAAAAACCCCCACGCGGCGGCGGTCGCGATAGATACGCCGCGTGCGAGGCATAAAACGGATATCGCTCTCCACGTGGACGGCGCCGTTAAAATCGCGGCGAAACGCGGTACATACGCGAGCCGTTGAGCCATTAAGCGGCGAGATACGCGCGTACCGACAGGCGAGATTAAAAAAAAATGTTTCGCGTTCTTGGAGTTGTGCTGTCGTATAGAACGGTCTGTGCAACCGTCTGACAGTGCAATAAACGGTAATTAATTAATGTCGGAGACAACGAAGTGAACTCGAGAGTAGAGCAAACCAGCCTATGCCTCCTGGACGTAGTCCTCTCCCAAGGGCGATAGTCAGGCGGTAAGTTCTGTATCTAAAGCTAACGGCACGCGATACTATTTTCCCTACTGGATTGCTCACGAGAGCCAATCGGGATTTAGCTTCGAGTCACCTGATCCAAAACTCTGCCTTCTTATTGGTTGTGCAATTGAAAGAAAATCGTTGAAGCAACATCAGTATTAATAAATGAAAAACACCAGAGTGTTGTCTCAATAATCTGGACATTTAAGTTCAATGCTTAAAATTAAGATCCGCAGCAAATACAATTGAGCGAATTATTTAAGTTCGCGGCAGCCCGTGACATCGACGTTTACTTCAAACAACTTCATATTGTTTAATTCAACAGCATTTTTTTCCGCGTACGATCGCCACTGTCGGGGCAAGAGAAAATTCAACACGTTATGGTGCAGATCGTAGCGTCGTCGCACTCGGTGGCGTAATTCCTTGTACAATTAATATCGCAGAGGTGAGAGAAAAGAGGCGATCGTTCCGTCAGTTGTTCTCGAATTCTCATTACACGGCGAAATTGTAACTGGAAGCGCGTGACAAATGCATTTCTTTATTTCTCCTCGCAGCGCGGCGAAACGCAGCGGGTCGCAAGGGCACGTCGCGGCGCGAACGATGCGTGTCGGAGCCTTGTGACGCCAATTTGCGGTAATTGGACGTATTTACGAGCGGTTATCATACAGATCGTCCGGACGCCCCCGCCCGCGTGGTCGGCGTCGTTCAAAAAGCTGTAATTCAGTTTATCCAATTAATTGGGCCGGTTCGGAAATGTGGCGGGATCACGCGTCGTCTAAAGAGACCGCACTGCGCTTACTGTACGCGTGGAATTTTTCATCTGCAGCCACGACGTAAAGGCCTGCGTCCACTTGGACTCCAAGCTCTAGCCTTCTACGGAATAGCTGCGAGTTGATTGGCCACGCGTTTCTCGAAACTAGAACCTGGACCGAGTTCCGGCATCACGGACACGGGCCTCAACTCCCTCAACTCCGCGCAGAATAGTCACCGAAAAATTCCTCTCTAAAGATAACCGAGGACTAAAAGGATCGTCTACAACAGACGAAGCGAGCCTGGCGTAAGAAGTAAGAGTACGAGTAAAGAAATTAATCATTCCCGCTTCTTTACTCCTACTTCAGCTCTTGCTCCCGGCGAATTGGAGCGCGGCTCGACCAGCGCCATAAATATTTTCAACAATTATGCCTGTACTTCAGCTCGTACACTGATAAGCGAAGGTTCGTGTCCAATGTATACGGGTCCTTTAAGGTAGCCCTATTCGGCCTCGTGCGACGCGCGAGGATGCTCGCTCCGCGAAATTCCGAGTACCGGGAGTGCTCGCGCGTGATCCCGCGGTGCACACGTGCGTCAGATGCGGCTGGGTGCCCTTTTAAGGTAATCCGCGTTGCGTGTGAGAGTAGGTACGTCCAGGTACGTCCGCCCGCCCGAGCGCGGCTGGAGCGCGAGCGCGCGGCGGTCTCTCCTATTAGGAAAGTTTCCACGGTGACGAAAGGGCGTAACTTCGTGCACTCGTCTTTATTAGCGGAGCGGTATTCGCGGCGGAAGGCGCGCGCGTACGTACCACGCGGCGCGGGAATTTTTGGGCGGAGGAACTTTTTCAATTTTTACAGCCTGAAGTCTCGGAATCTTCACTCTCACACTTTGGGGATCCGAAGAGAAAGGGCTGCATATTAAATCGATATTCGGGACGCAGAGACAGTCAATGACTGATATCTACGCCCGTTACTCTGGTATATAATGTATTTTCTTTTTTGTTAATCTTTGGCTGCGAGATCTGGTTTTGCGTTCTCGTTAGCTCTAGCAAGTCAGCTCGGTCTCCTGCGCGCTATAATCCGCTCCATTTCGCACGTACGCGCGCGCGGGCGTGTGGCAAAAATTGTGGCAGAAAGATTTTGCGTGTTAACTGAATTAGAACTGTTAAACTAAATTTAATTGAAATTAAAAACTTACTGGCCTTCGCGTCTTGCTTTCGGCTATCTCGTTCACGCGGTGCGATCAGCAGCAGAAGGAATCAAAATAATTAACCGGATGGAATGAAACTTATTGTCGCCAGCGGTAATTAACGCAGGGGAAACTCCGAGGTGGAAACCGCTGGCCAAAATCTTGTACACCAATGCCCACTGATGCCCAGTGGGCATTACTTTATCTTATCTTATTTTACGTTATTTATCTTGCTTTATCTCATTTTGTCTTTACTTATGATACCCCAGCAAGGCCTCATGCCCGAACTACTGCCCAAAAATGCCCAGTAATGCCGCAAATCTGTACACGACAATGCCCTCAGCGGTTTCCCCCATCGGGAAATTCTTTCAAATACGCCATAATACGCCGGTTTGGTCGGTCTTCAAAAGAATCTGCCCTGTGCAAAATAATTAACCCCGCGGACAATGGCGCTGCGAACAGTACCACAAAAGATTCTATCTACTTTTTATCTTGCAATCGGACTCGACGATATTAGTTGGGGTGGCTAGTAGACCGAAGTGTAAGGCCCGAGTGGCGAGGCCGGTGGGGAATTTCGAGACTCGCGGTAGAGGAGACGGGAGGGGTGGAAAAGAACGAAAGAGAGGACGGAGGGAAAATGCGGTGGACGCCGGTCGTCGTCGGGCGACGGCTTAATTGACGTCACTTAACGGATCGTCGTTATGCCTGGCTTAATTACCTGTCGCTCGTTGCCGCTGGTTCGCGCATTTTAATCGATTTATCACGCGCGAAGGCGACGACGTGCCCCCGAATATGACAATGGACCGGACGCGTGATGTCACGTCCCCGGAATCGAAAGGAAACGACTCGAGCTACCGAACTTTTTTGAAAACGTGACTTCAGCCAGGCCTTTTAGAAACTGATTCGAAACAGCAGATTGAACCGCGATCTCGACGCGCTTTATGAAACGTCGGCGTACGTAGTCGGTAATGAAAGAAAAAAATAAAACTAGAATGTTGTTTTAATTAGAAGCAATTAAACGTCAGCCATTTGCTGCTGGTGTTATGGTTTATCTTTCAATCGTCACGCTATTTGTCGACGCGCGTAATCTTGAAAGATTTTAGAATAAAAATATCAACTTATATCTTTCATGTCGAGAAATGCAAGTATTTTCTCCGTTTGATGAGAATTTTTGCCTGAGATACCAGTAGGGATCCTATTTTGAAAATAATATTTGTTCAGACTCCGACGTGGAGGATCGGCGCAGATTTTTCTCGTTAAAGATGACGCCGTTACAATCCTCACGTGTCGCATACGCAATTTACGATATAACGAGTCTGTGCTTAAGGATTTAGCGTCTGTGAATCGACAGCTTCGGCTCCTGCGTGCACGAGGTACCGAAAAAATGACCGTGACCGAACCCGCCATTAGCGATGACTGTTGTTAAAACAGTGCGGCTGGAAAAAAAAATTCCGGCGGTCCGCGCAAGGTTCGCACGTCCACGCTGATTCACAATGCCGTCGCCATACGTGACGCGAAGTCGCAAACAACGAGAATGTGATTTATCGCGCGTAACGCGCTAATCGGCGGCACCGTCAAAGTCACGCCGTCACGCCGCTCGAAGCCTGTCCCCTTTATCTCCCTTCTCTTTTTCCGCGCGCGCGCGCGCGCGCGCGCGCCTATCTTTCTAAGTCGCGCCAGCTGAAAGACCGCTCGTGATAGTCGCGGAATTATCTCGGGGGTACAATTTTTCGGTGGCTATCGGGGAAAGCAGTGGAGCCGAAGTCGGATCTTTCGTCTCGAGAGAAGAGTTCTGCGGCGAGCAATAATTGATATCCGAAAGAGAAGAAAAGAGACAACAGCGCGGAAAGGGTGGAAACGTTACTGACAATTTGCGCTCCTTCCGACGATTAATTTGAAATTAAATTGAAATTAAATTAAAATTCAAAAATACTCGTCAGCGCTTCTTTTGTCAGCGGGAGAACACACCGCGAGGCTCCGCGAACGGTAGGCACTTTTTCAATCCCCCCGGTTGATCGTGCGAGCGACGTCAGCCTTCGTTCAAGGAGCGGAATCGAAGCGAAAGGAAAAGGAAGCGGAGAGAACAAATGGTCCACGACTAACCCAGTTTCAGCCTCCGAATCGCCGAGGCGTAATTTAAACGCCTCTATTACAAAATTCCTCACCCGCTTCGCCCGCGGGCGCACGCGTGCACACGCGTGCACACGCACGGATACGCGTCTAGAAGAGCGAGCGAGGCCCGCGCGAGAGCCCGGCGTCGACGGACGCGCGTCTCGCCCTCCTTCCACCGCGCCTCCCCTCCCGCGTCCATTGCCGCCCTTCATGCGCGCCTCTCGTAATAATAGAAGGACGCGACAGAGCAAGAGTGCCGCCGCCGGTCGGCGGCGATGACACGCGCGTGCACACGCACACACGGCGCGCGCGGCGCACACGTACGGCCACGCACACGAATACGCATGACCGCGCGGCGGCTCGCTCGTTTGTTTACCCGTCGCGGCGCTCCCGTGTGAACGCACCGCGCCGCCGACTTCGCCTCTCGTCGTCCTCCCCGCCCCACTCCGCCGTTTCCCGATCTCCACCTTCTCGGCTTACTCTTCGTCGCCCTCGAGGTATCTGCGGTGCCCCCGCTCCCTCCGCACGCGTCCTCGCCCGTTATCCTTCTCGCCTACCGCGTCCGCCTCCGTCACTCTCGCGTCGGTAGTCGCGACTCTCCCCCCTCCCGCCCCTCGTTAGAGCCGACTTTGCCCGTCTTCGTCGTCCCGCGCGTCGCTTCTGCTCGCGATTTCCGTCTCCGTCGCTCTCGCCCACCCGTATTCTCTCTCTCTCTCGGCGGCGCTCCGTAGCTCGCGCTACCTCCGTCTCTCTCCTCGCTGGCAAGTCTCTCGTTCCACGCCGTGAATATCTGTCGTCTCCCGCCTCGGCGGCGGACGTGCCTTTGCCGGTCCGGCCTCGCCGTCCTCTCGCGCGCTATCCTCTTTCCACGTGGAACGTCGGCGTTGCTTTCTGTATTTCTGCGTCCCTCCCCGATCCTTCTTTTTTTTTCTTTCTCCTAAAGCGTCGCTCCGCGTTTTCGTTCTCGTCCCTCCTCGGCGCGCCTCGATAGATCGGCGATTAACGCGTCCGGCGAAACTGTCGCGCGGCACCTGCGCGGGATATAAATTTGCCGCGCCGACGCGAGCTTCCGAGACACCCGGTGCGTGCGCCTTCAACTCCGCCATCCATTTCAGTCCGATCCACTTTATCCGGCTCTATCTCCGCCTCATCTGCGACTGTCGCGCATCTCGCGTCGTCGGGGATTGCCCCCCTCGGTGCCTCCGCGCCGCGTCTTCGTGAGCGACGACGTCGGCACGCCGCCAGCGAGCCGGGGGCCACGAAAAAGTGGAAGATTATTCGGAACGTCGTGAGACGCGCTCGCGTAAAGGACCCTGGCCTGCGAGAGGCCGGCGCGGTCGTACCTCCGGTTTCTCGGAGCGGGAAGACTCCGATATTTCAGACCCGATGACGCGAGACACCGTCGAGCCTCACAACAACGTTTCCAACTTTCTTCAAGACCGAGTCGGACTAGCAATCGTTGACTCTGGTCGAGTTGGAATTGATCGACGATTGTCCTTTCAGCCAATGGGAGGCAGAGCGGTCGGCGATTCAGTCGGCTCCCATTGGCCGGAAGACAATCCGCCAGTCGCCAATCCCAATCCAATCCGAGTCAGCGATTGCTAGTCTGACCCGGTCTTAGGACCAAAGCGGGAAGCGAAAGGGTAGCGCGCGCGTTCCCGGAGGGACGGAAGTCGGCTGAAGAAGCGGGGTAAGAAAACGAGCGGCCGGTCCTCGTACAGCTCGTGCCTTGCCCATACTTGGACCCGCTTGACGCTCAATCTAGAACCGGTAATGTCCTCGTAAAATCGCCCTAGACCACCCAGGCTCGGCGCTCACCCTGGAAGCCTAGCTTAGGGAAAAAGAGGGACGCGGAAGCGCGCGAAATAGGTGGATACGCTAGTTCTGTCTGGACCTCGGATACGTTCCGCCTTTTCCCCCTCCTTCTCCCCCCCCTCTCTCTCTCTCTCTTTCTGTTCCCTCCCGCATACTCCGTGTCATTCTCTCGCCGTTGTTTCGCTCGCTCGCTCGTCACGCTCGTCGCCGGCGGCTCCTCGTAAATCACCTCTTCCGCGAAGCAGGCGCGCAAAAAAAAAGATATAGCCATACTCCGGCTAGGGATAGAGGAGCGTGTTTCATCTTGGCAACACGTTGACCTACTGTCGTTAAGCCGCGAAGGCTCGCGCTAGGAGCTCGGACACGAAAGTTATTTCGAGTTACTACTTTTTTTTCCCCCCCGGTGATACAAAGAGCCATCAGCTGTACTCCTCTGGTTATCGGGAATAGCGACGCGTTACTTCGGATTATGCGAACGTCCGACGGATAATTGCTGCGTTCTTATCCGAGTATTACGGGTCACGTTGTTGATAGACGTATTAAAGAGAGACCGTTTTCTTGCTGCTCTTTTTCAGGCTAACAAACCACTAATGGAAAAACGACGACGAGCGAGGATCAACCAGTCCTTGGCGGCGCTGAAGGCGCTCATCCTTGACAGCGCCCGCTTGGAGAACACCAAGCACAGCAAGCTCGAGAAAGCCGATATCTTGGAGCTTACGGTCAGGCATCTGCAGCGGCAGAGATCGCTCGCTCAGCCCGGCCTGTCCAGGTACAAGGCGGGATACCAGGACTGCTCCAGAGAGGTAAGAGCACCTATTACTTCGGGAGAGCGCGACGCAACCCTTACATTCTTGTCCCTTTGGCGACTCGGTGTGAGAAGAAAAAGTTGGCACCGATATTCGACAAAAGACGATACTATCATTTTGTTATAGATCTTAGAATTTTTCATGTAAGATTAAAATATTCGGCGCTATATCGATCCTATTTTATGATACATTCAAGCGTAATGGCATTGGATCCGGAAATTTTTTTCCCGTGGGCGCAGGAAAAAATGTTACAACTCTCGCGAATTATCGGCCGTTGAAATTTTTCGCTTTCACCGTATGGAGAAGGAAATCTGCTTCAAAAGAATATCCTTCCCGCTCGAAAATCCCGATCGGTGCCGTGTCTCCGAGAACAAAACGAAGGATCACCGGGGTGAGGCAACTCCGGTGCGGAAAAACGTGGGCTTTGCGTCACGTTTACCATTATACGCCGCGCGTTTCGTCACGGGTTAGCCGTGGGGCGAGGGAGGAGGGGACGGGCGTGCGGGGGCGGGAGCGGAGAGGGTGGTGAAAAAATTCCAGCGCGCCCGGGGAGCGTGTAATCGGAGAACTCGGCGGAACTGGTTCGTGTTACACGCCGCGGCGGAAAGGGATGGGGAAGGAGGGATTCTATCCCGGTGGAAGAAGAACCCACCCGAAACCACCCTGCCTCCGTTCCCTCCTCGCCCCTCCGTCTCCTCGGACGGCGATGGGTATCCGACGTATCGGGTTGTCGTCGGGGAAGGGTCTCGCGTGACTCCGCGATGCTCGATCGCTCGTACGTTCGTTAAGGAACGTCCAGACGCGAAATCGGGGGAAACTCGTTGAAAGCGGACACCCCGTAAATGCCATCGCGCAAAATTTGCCGGATGAAGCCTTGCGGTCGGATCTCTCTCGGCCGGGTCAGGTAGTCGCCCCGAGTCGGGGAAACAGGAGGGAAGGAACCCTCACTTTTCGGTTTCTGCGCGCTAAGACTCGGCGCGGAGTGGCCGGGATTGTGACCAAAATCAATCGGCGTATGGTAAACGGTATGACGTGTCACGGCGACTACGCCCAAAAATAAGTTTCTTCGAAGCAATGTATTCAATTAATCGCAGCACCGCGCCCAGAGAAAGGATTTGGCTTATAGGTTAAACAAACGAGATACGCTGAGATCACACGTTTCTTCGAATCCACAAAATTTTGAAGATTTCAAGAAACTTATATGAATTCTAGAAATTTCAGTTTCTCGATCAAATAAAATTTTGGCTAGGATAAAGAAATAATTTGTTCGCGATGAAGTAAAAGTCTCGCGGGGTCGAGATTCGGACAAATTTTGGCTAGGATAAAAAAAATCATTGCTTCGAGATGAAATGAAAGTCTCGCGGGGTCGAGATTCGGACAAATTTGTTTCGTCTCGAACGAACCTTTTTTCTGAGCGCGTGCAATAGTCCAGCCTACGCGGGTCTCCGCCTATCCCCAGAAAAACCTGTTACTCGGGATATTTTTTCCTCTCTTTCGAGCGCTCGGGGGCCTCGTCTGCGCGGTACGCCGCGGCACTTCCGTCGTATATCTTCATCGGTACGGCGTAGCACGGGCGTGTGCCGCAGAACTCGAGGCGTCGAGTCGATTGTCGGCTCGCTCGCCTCGACAAAGCGCACTTGTCACGACACAAAGCCCGGCCGTGCGCGCTGTACCTGTCGCGCGCGGCCGCCTTATCAGAAATGCTCGCCGATAAAGTCGCCGACTTCCCGGCGCTAGGATACCACCGCTCGAAAGATGCAGCCCACGCGAGGCTCGCGCGCGCGTGCTGCGAGCGACTGTGCGTCGGGACAATGGCAGAAGTTATTACCGTTGAAAAATCACGCGCGAGCGGGACGTGCGTTATTCCGGGGACTTTTCAATCCTCCGCAGTCGCACGTTTGGAGGATTAATCGCTGATAGAGCTGTTACGTAATTCTTACGAAATTGCTTCTCAAATTTTATCGCGACTTTCGCCGAATCATTTTGTTACGCGCGCCCAATTATTTGAATAAATATCGTACATGTACGCGCGCGCCCGCGCATACACGAGTGCTGATTGAAGAGTTCTGAGATTGTATCGCACGCGTGTTCCGCAACTGCGCAACGCAACGATGACGGCCATCAAGGCCAAGGTCTTCTGCATGCGCACCGATATGGACCAGTAGCGAACGTTCTCACGCTCTATAAACCGATGTGTGCTCTAGGATATGGCGCCGGTAGACGGTTCTTTAGCTACGCGATAAAAGCGCGCTATCGGAATTGCACCTCAAACTTGGGGGGGAGGGAAATGTGATTAGGAGGCTTTCGAAACGCCGGGTCAATTGTGCGACGGACGGGCTTCGCACTCGCAGAAAAAATGTCCGGATCCAATGCTATTGCACTTGAATGTATCATAAAATAGGATCGATATAGCGCCAGTCGTATTTATTATAGAGAAAGGAATATTTTCATCTTAAACAATTCTTGTCGCCAGTGGTAATCGACCAGGGGAATTTTAAAAAATCGACCAAACTGGCAAAAATAGATGTTTATTTTAATCAGTGATTAAAATAGACATCAGTTTTGCCAGTGTGGTCGATTTTAGTCTTAAGTAAAAAATTCTAAAATCTAGAATAAAATGATACAATGGCGTCGTCTCTTGTCGAATATCGCGGTGCCAACTTCGTGCCTTACAAGATGGAGGGAAAATTTATTCTAAACGCAAGAATATATTAAGTTACTCTTGTCTCAATACAGCAAGTCAATCTTGTTCGATAGACGAGAATAAGAATTGTTGATTTTATTTGGATGTAGTCTTATTTTTATACTAAACGAGGTTGTGAGAAATATTAATGCGCCAAGAATATTTTTTGTCTAACAGAAATCCTTTCCGAGGGCGCGCGAGCTCGAAAACGTACAACGCGAATTCTGTGACATCCTCTTTAAGAAGCGGCCGCGGCACTTTCCGTCCCTGCGACAATAGGATAAATCGGAATAGCAACATCGGACTCCCTTGCAGTTCTCACTTAGTCGCTTATCACTCTTGATCGTTCTTAATTTCGAATAACTTACGCGGAAAGGGATCTCTCGCTGATAAAGAGGAGCCGCCGGCCGTTTCCTTAAAGAGGATGTCACGAAATTCACCGCGTTCGCGCTCTCCAATCGTTTTGACGCGCCGTAAAAGTAATGTGCATGCGATAAATTATTGGGATATGACGGTAGTTTTCCTCCGGTGCGTCAAGTTTAGAACGACGTATGTGGCCTCGAAATTTTTCGATCGGGCCTCGTACATGATATCGAAACTATTACTTGATACCGAAAGGAGCACACGAAATTGCAACGTTAATATGTCAGAAACTCTTGCATTTATTATGCCTCGCTCGTTCATCGCACTTTTCCTTATTAATAATCGGGTACGCAGAAATAAATTTCCGTCAATTCGTCAACTTCCGCCGAGGATTCCCGGGTTTGGAACTTTTCCAATTGTAAAATATTTTCATTTCTAGAAATTAACTTGTGAAAGCGTTTTAGAATAGATTCCAGGGAGGGGGGTCGAATTTTCCGACGCTCTGCTGTGTTTCGGGGAGACGAGAGAGCATGCCTAAAATTTCGGATGACGAATTGAACGCCGGGCGAAATCACCGCGCATGTGATATACGAAGCAAGGCAGGCAGGATGAAAGGAAGGAAAAGAAAGAGAGAGAGAGAAATGCGGGTGTCCCTGTGGGGCAAACTTTATGGTCTTATAAAACCGGCGGTCGACCGAGGCGACGCGTCCTGCCATTGCCCGCGGTCCTTCCCATCCTCCCCTCGGGATCTCGTTTCGTCCGTCGAAAGTATTGTACATTTCTGCTCGCCTCCGCGCGAGCGCGAGAAACGCGCCGTTCGGCCCCCGCTCGCTCCTTCCTCCCGATGTCGAAAAGTAAAACGGACGCGGCGAACCTCGAAACATCGGCATTTCCCGGAAGTTCTGCGCGAGGTCGGGTAGCGCGCGAGGATTAACGGGTTCCGAGAAATTCTAAGCGCATGTGCAATCGCATAACAAGGTCTAAATCGGCTTCCTTCGAGCTTGCCTGAGCGGAATTTTAATCTGAAGTTTGCCAGACGCTCGACGACTTGTCGTCGAATTTTCCTTAAGGCGGGCTCGACTGTGAATTTGTTGAGCGTTTCCCAAGAGCTGACCGGGAAAGTTTTTCGTGTATTTAAAACTGGTCATCTCAAGACATGAAATTAATAAAGATATTTTAATCAAGCTTGAAAGATAATTTAACGCTCCACAACTTTTGCTTGGATACTTTTCGTTAAAACTAGATATTTGCAAAAAATGTCTCGAATAAACGTGATTTTAGAGGATTTTAGAGGCGCTAACGTCTTAAAGGAGCATTTTTTGACCCGCGCTTGCAGGAAACTTTCTGTTCAGAATTGACTGTTCTATAAGATCTCACAGTCTGGCTGCAACGTTTGGAGCCACCCTGTATATACCTGAAATAGAAGAACGAGACGATGCACTCTGGAAGAAAAGGATACGCGAAAACCAGGTCAAAAACCACCCACGCGTACAGAAATTTTCCCCTTCACGTGGGACACGAGTATAAATATTCCTTAGAGAAACCGATTCTTAAAATACAATTAAAACAAATAAGAACTCTCTTTGGCTTATCAAATCCCTATTTCATTATTTTAATGTGCTAATAAAAAAACGCCGTGTGTTCGAAACGCGTCCACTTCGATATTGTATAATTTACTAAAAAAAAATTTTATAACACCTTAGCTGGTCAGAAATTTTTGGCCACCTTACGGTTCGTTCTTAAAATACGCCTGCGCGCGTTAAAGAGTATCGCTCTCTATTAATTTCTCTCTCTCTCTTTTTTGATATTAATCGTAATTTATAATTCTTCAGAAGCACGCATAATGGGATCGAAAGTGCGAATTCCGTTTCTAATTGCCGACGTGCGCGATTAACCCACATTCGCGGATATCTATTCGATACGCGATCCTTCCGTGCCCCCGAAGTCGTCGATCTCTTTCGAGCGCGCGGTGGCGGCGGCGGTAGCGGCGGATTCGGTTGCTTTATTTTGAAGCAGCGACCCATAAAAGCTCTCTCTCGCGTCCGCGGCTCGCCGCGAAACTATTGTCCGCCGGCGGCGGCGGCGGCGGCGACAGTTTCGCCGGCGAGCGACGCGCTCGGCGCTCGATACGCCGCCGTGTGAAATATAGCGCGCGATACGCTACGCGATTAGAGATCAATCGCACCGCTTCCGCCCGAATCGCCGCCGCTTCCACTCGCAATTCGGCCCCGCTTCCGGTCCGCCGCGAGCCCCCGTGTCGCGGCGGTCGCGCGCCGCTGACTTTTTCCACCGATTCATCCTCGTTTTTCGCGCGCACGTACCGTCGATTAAACGCGATATAATTCACCGGGGTATAATTTCTCCGGGTTTTTCGTAATTCCGGATCCGCGCGACGATTCCGCGCGCACCTCCCAGTGAAAAAGCGCCCGAAGGCGCCGAGGGAACTCTCTCTGTCCCGCGCTCGTCGAAGATCGCGTTCAAGCCAGCGCGCTGTTCGCCAGCCGTTCGCAAGCCAGAACGCGGTCTTCGACGAACGCGGCACGGAGTTCCCGCGGCGCCTTCGAGCGCTTTTTCGCTCGCAGGTGCGCGCGGAATCGCCGCGCGGATCCGGGAATTACGAAGGCGCCAGCTTAAGACGCGCTATCCGAGATAAATGGCCCCTCGGCGAATATTTTTGTCTAGCGCGCAATTCAGCCTTCCCTTTTAATTATCACGAGACGTCGAACCGCGCGTTATAATATAAAATCCCGCCAGATTATCTTGCGCGCGTGCGAGCGCGCGGCGCGTTAATCAGCCGCTCTAAGCGCGCGTTAATTAGCGATTCGCGGCGATAATACCGGTCGCGAAAAGTTCGCAGTTGCGTCGTCGGCTGCAGCTCCACCCGACCAACGGGTTAAAGAGCGTTTTATCGCGCCGGTTGTTATCGCCGGCACGTACGAAATAAATTACGGACCGGCTGTGGGGGGGAAGCGAGGGGGAAGGGGGGCCCGGGTTCAGGTCGCGCAGCCAGGGACGGGCACCGGGCAACAAATAATCGCGCGGCGCCGTTACTCGACCGTGCCGCGGATTAAAGAGCGAAATATTCAATTACGTCTGGCCGGTCGATAATGACTGACGCGCGATCACCGCGAGCCCGCGGTCGAGAGCGGAATTTCCAGCGCGTAATATATTTTCCCCGTTGCGCCGACTCGCCCGCGCTCGCGGACTCGTTCGCGGACTTGTCGCGCGGGGCGAGAAGCTCCGTCCCCATCTGAACGACCGTCGCCAGTTCCCGGATGCAAACTTCGGTCCGAGTGCCACACCAGCTACGGCTGCGATGCTCACGCTCGCGAACGCCAGCCGTGTCCGTGCGCGTGAACAATGATGCTGGCGGGCCGAAGCTCTTGCATCACTGGTGCCCGGCGCCGCTGCGATATCGATGTCTCGGTTCGCGACTGCCCCGCGCGTTTGCATGAAATTGTAGGATCATTATTGAACCGCGCGAGCACGAGCCGCATTCACCGCCGTATTAGCCGACAGAGCCCCAGCGTTTTACATGGCTGGGTGCCTTTGTGCTTTCAGGTGAGTCGCTATCTTGATGCGCCAGACATCATCACGGGCAACACCACGCCAATGGACCCGGCGGTGAAGCAGCGGCTGCTCCGCCACCTCGACAGCTGCGTGTCGGAGCTCGACCTGGACCTGGGCTCGCGACCGGACAGCGGCCTGGGCAGCAGTCCGGGCAGCGTGACGGACCGCGTGGCGGGGACGACGAGCCCGGGCCCGCTGGACCACCACGTGCCGGTCGGGCCGCATTGCAGCGCCGCGCTCACGCCAGCCGGCCTGATCAAGTCCGAGATCCCGGAGATGGTGGAGGCGGCGCGGCCGGACAGCAGCACCACCGCCGGCGACGAGAACAACAACAGCAGCCGGCCGACCTCCGCCTTCAGCCAGGTGAACCCGGCGACGTTGGACCCGCACCATCCGCATCATCCGTCGGGGCTGCCGGTCGACCAGGCGTCCACGTCGCAGCAGAATCCCAACATGCTCTCCGTCGTGCAAGTCATACCCTCCCGACTACCGGACGGCCAGGTGGTCTTCCTGCTGCCGAGCCACTACGTGCAGCTGGCGGCGGCGGCCGCGGCGAACGGCATCAGCATCGGGCCTAATCCGCCAACGGCGATCTGGGCGGCGACCAACATGTCGCTGCTCAAGGCCACTGACAAGCTGGTGAAGCGACCGCACGAGGACATCGGCCAGGAGTGGCAGGACCCCACCGGCGGCCTCAAGCCTAGCAAGAGCCCGCGGATGGAGCAGCCGGAGCAGCCGCTCGACTTCACCACCACGTCCAAGAAGATGAAGACCGGCTCGAGAAACTCGACGCACTCCGGCGTCGTGGATCACCATCATCTGCGGCAGCAACAGCAGCAGCAGCAGCAGGCCCGTGTACCGGCCGAGACCGGCGGTCCCGTCGTCCACGAAGATAGACCGTCTAGTCACACGGACAGTGAGGTTGCCGTCGGCATGCCTTCCCCGTCGCCAGTCGGCCAGCAACCGGTCAAGGATGAGGAGGGTATGTGGAGACCATGGTAAAGATCCGATGCTCTTTATCTTTGTAAATAGAAGTGTATCTTGTGGGGCGCGCGTGCGAAACCGGAGATCGCGCAGCTGCGATCGTCGTCTACTGCGGAAATCTTCCTTACATCGCTACGATCAGGTCGCGCAATACTCGCCGCGTACCTGGATGATTGGTCTCGGTCAGCAAAATCGACGCACGTGATTGGAAATTATTTTCGAGATATAAAAGAATGTTGTCGTAGACTTTAGATTATTTTTTAAGGTAGATGCGTCATTGTTTCGAGTCCGGAGGCGAAAAACTGAATATTTTTCTGACCAAATGGCGACTGAATCGGTGAGAACGGTGAAGGGGACACGTGTGACACCTCGGCCTTGCTCTTGCGCGAAATTGAGAGATTCGTAACGAATACGTCGAAAAAAAGTTCTCGCTACCATAGCTAATCATGGTTCGCTGAAAATATTTTGCTGCCGTAAACTACAAATTTCCAAACCACGGCTTGCCGCCGCGCCCGATACAACAGGCACAGTGGCAAAATATTTACCTGTCACAACTAAATGCTATATTTTACAACTGAAAGTTTAGTTATCACAGTGCAGCTTTTAGCTACGGCAGCTACATTTTTTCCCCCGTGTACTTTAAGTAACCACGGCGCGGTGAAATCTACGCTACACTCAAAGAAATGATCTCGCAACTGCAGCGACCATTGTCTAGGTTCGAAAAACTGAGGTATACAAATGAGTAACCAATACTGCGAAATTGTACATGTTTTGTACTTAATCAATGTAAATAGAATTTCTATCTCAACTATTGGCGAACGTTAGAGAGAAAGTCTTTCTGTGGCGCCCATCCATTGTGAGACCATCCAAAGATTGTTCTAGCTGGCACAGAAATTCATTTCTGTCTCACGTTGTATTAGAATCAGTTTCATTCGAGATCCGCTAACGTACGGTTGCTGTTTGGAAGTTTTAGAAATTGACGTCGCTATTAAAAATCCACCGACTACCGAGACATATATGACATGAATTCGCTGACTCGTAAACTCATTGTGTTTCGGCACAAAATTTTTCAGTCAACATTAGATTGCACTTGAAAAGGACCCGATAAAGAGGTCGAAACATTGCGTCTTAAGTAAAATCCACATTTTTGCCAGTCTGGCCGACTTCGAAAGAATTTTACTATTTGTTACTAGAGTGCTGCTATTAATTTTGCAGGCTACAATTTTCTAACAGATACAAAGGTTAACGATGAACTCTTGTTGCGACGCCTAGAAATCTACCTGCGTTACTAAGATACTTTTTTGAGTGTACGCTAAGGAGCCCGAAAATTGCCGGCTTTTACTTCGGTTGCCATCGAGAGCTCTCTTGCCTCGGACACTTTCTTACAATCTGCCTCCCACGGAAGTAAGGAGTAAAAATTAGGGGTGTACCTTCTAGACCGCCTCTTCAACTGACGGAAAGTCACAGAGGAACTTTTAGATCTGCGCGATGTCGGGGGACTAGTCGAACTTCCACCTCTGCTTATTGCTCGGAGGGCTCCACCTCTTCGCGGCAAAGTATAAGCATAAAGCCCGAAACCGAGAGATTCGTAGAACAGCTTTTCAGCTTTTCTCAAGCGTATGACTCCGTCACGTGTCCCCTCTCCGTTCTGAACCGCTTCAATTATCACAATTTATTTCGATGCGCGCTGCGCGAAATATCCGTTGCGGCACGTTCGAGCCGGAGGAATACGTCCCCGAAAATGCGCGTACATTTCGAAAAGTGCTCCTCAATTAGCGTAATATAATTCTCAAAAGAGCGGCGATACGCGAAACCAAAAGTAATTAACGCGCGATATTTATTTACGTTTATTACGAGGGGAAGAGGGGGGGAGGAGAGAATTGGCAATGACACAATTTCACGATAATGCAATCCGCAATCGGGTTTGCACAATCGGCGAATTTTCACAGGCGCGGGAAATTAACGCGATTGGCGTTAATATCGAGAGGAATGCTAATTGGCAGGAGGGGGGGAGGGAGGGAGGGAGAGGGAGACACTCGAAATTACCCTTTCACGCGGGCTGCAAGGTCGACGAATTTTACGTACGTCGAGAGTGTAATACAGCCTCCCCCCTCCCGATCCCTTATTTCGTCCCGATCTTTGGATTTTCGCGCTCAAGGCAGAAAGCCGAGGAGAACCGCGGCTGCGACATTTTTTCTCTCCCCCCCTCCCCCACTCCCTTTTTTCTCTCTCTCTCCCGTCGCACCGCTTGCGCTCCGCGGCTGTGGAAACGAGTACACGGAAAAGGCGTATGCGCATTCTCGCCTAATAACTCCGCGCGCGCGTGACGTCAGCGGGCTGTACGCGCCGTTTCTTGCGACGGCGCTAATGAAGCCTTTAATTTGCATCGCGTCCAAAAGCGCCGCGGTCGTTAAATCCGCTGCAACGCCCGGCGTTTATTCCCGCGAGAGCGCCGTTCGAACAACGGCGCGCGTTGCGTCGCGACGCGAAATTTTCGCACCGGCGTTAAACGTTCGCGGAAACGAGCCGGGGATGAACGTAACGAGCGTAAGCGAGGGCGAGACGTAACGCAACGTGCCCCGGGACGTTTAATCGTCTCGTAGCGCGACTAGAAAAAAAAATGGGGCGCTGTTTCCTTCATTAATTTCGCGGGCCGCGCAGATCGCCGCGCGCTACCTTCGGTAACGCACGGTGAGGCGGGGAACGTGTTAATTTGCGATTTGTAGCAACTTTGTCGAACGAAGCTACGTTTCACGGGAGCCACGTGCGTTAACATCTCGCCGGTCGAAAGGCGATTGAGTCTTCGTTTCATTGTAATCTACATTGGCGCATATTTTTTTCTCTCCGGTCGTCGGATCGATCCGAATTGATTCGCGCCTCTGCCTCCGTCGACGAAGACCGACGACGGGGGCGGGCGTGGAACAGAAGCGACGACGCGCAGCGACGCGGGTGTCTCGGGGGAGCGAGGTGTTTGCGAATGCCAAAACAGAGCGAGTGTGGGACAGGATTGTAAAACCTGTACGCCTAAACTTCTGCGATTTTTCCCTGTGGAGACGGCGAGGTGACCCCGTCGCCTCCTCGGCGGGGCCGCTCGGCCCCGCTGGTGCGCAATTGTGCAAGCGACAAAAGAAATCGTTCTGACGTAGTTGCGCGTAAAAACGCGCTACAAGATAACTGTATGTATGTAAATGATGGAGTAATTAGTTTGCGATTATTAAGCCGAGAGAAAGGGAGAGCGAGCGAGAGGGAGGGAGAGAAAAGAGAAAGAGGGCAGCGAGTGTGCGAGAGAATGGGGCAGAGAGAGAGAGAGAAAGGGAGAATGCGTGCGTTTTAGTCCGCCATTCGTGTACATAGCCTCTCGATTGGAATTATTGCTATTTGCGAGATATAGATTTATTTTGATGTTATCTAGGTGTATACGGCGAGAGAGAAAGAGACAGAGAGAAAGGGGGTGCGTTTGCGCGCGCGCGTGTGTATGTGTGGGAGCGTGTGTGTGTGTGTATTTGCGCGAATAGCGAGCGTTCTTTTGTGGAGGCGCGACTAACGATCGCGCTCAGCGTAGCGAGAAGTCACCATCTCACCACCTAATTTACGTCTGTAATTGCTAAATATCCTGGGATTCGAATTCCTTATTCGATGTACTTAGACACGCAGTCAATATAGGCATGTATATTGAACTGTACGCTACGCCGTGTGTTCTCATTGTTATTATTAGAGGCAAGTCCCCCTGTTATCAGGTGGGATCCTAATATGGGATAGCGGGGTTTCGCCTAAATTAATAGGCATCGTCTGTTGGTTCCACTCGTAGACGTAGTAAATATAGACTGAGCATCCCGTTGAATAAGCTGAAGCTTGTGAAGAGAGAAAGAGAGAGTGAGAATATTTAAGAAGACTTTCTTTCTCTGTCTTACACTATCGTAAAAGAAAACGGTCGTGCCTGCGCAGTACTACACAGGCGTGAAGGAAAGTCTTCTTAAATCTTCTCTGTCTCTCTCTTCACAAGCTTCAGCTTGTTCAACGGGGCGCTCAGTCTATATTTACTATGTGGTTCCACTATTAATTTATTGCCCCTGGAGTGAAGTCTGCACAGTGGAAAATTCATCGTTAGACTGTGTAATCGCCGCGGAAAAAGATTTGCGATTGAATTTGGCCGTTGAAAATCTGCTATCTCGTGTTAGAAACCTGTCTCGTAATAGGGGACTTCCCTCTACTATTCCCCGTCCGTCGTACAACGAAATCCAATCCGCGATTTCCAAAGCTTGTTCTACAACGGACGCGAGACGCTAAGCCGCAACGCGCGTGAAATCGACCGATCACGGTCAAATATGGGAGGAGCGATCGACCTGTCGGCCGATTTCTTGCGTTGCGGCTTAGGCCCGGTTTCAACCGAACGTCGTGTAACTTTAATCTCAGTTTAATTCACGTTTGTCTAAAGTAACAGTCTGAAAGAGACAAAGAGTGAATTAAACTGAGCTTAAAGGTCGAGCGACGTTGGCGAAACCGGGCCTCGGCGTCTTGCGTTTTGCGTCCATCGTAGAATGAGCCTACAGCTTCCCGAGAATCTCGATTTAGTCCCCTGGTAGGACTCTTTCCCCGATTATAATCAGCGGTCTTCGAAGCTCTTGATCTCGATCAAGAGTATAATCTGAGGTAAGTACTTAAATTATAATTTTTCATACGCGAGACACATCGGTAAGCAAAGAGACGTGCTTGGCATGCGCGAGCGTGCGTACTCGAAAAATCTTTAATAAACGGAGTTTCTTGTTAAAACGCAAGATTCTCTGCGGCGTTCCTCGTCGTTATTTTTTTCTGTCTTGTCGCGACTCTAATATCCTGAAATATCGAGAAGCACCGCCCGAAATCGGCGTCGGACCGGCCGGGACGGATCATCATATCCCTCGCTCGCGTTCCTTCCCTGTTCCTTTTTTTTCTCCCGTTGTAATTTGCATCGCGCGGTCGACCTTCGGCGAGCGCCTTTCGCGAGGAAAAGGCGACGGCAACGGCGGGCGGCGGGATCGTTAATGCGATTTTTTCCTGGCCATTAAACTTTTTGCTGGGACGTCCCGGCGCGGCGCGCGCTGCCGGAGAAACCGATTACCGATCGTTAAAGTCTGCCTGTTTGCGCCCGACGAAATGACCGTTCGCACGCCTTTCCTGGCGGCCGCGCGCGCATAACCGTAACGTAAACGGGCGTAAAGTCCGCTTGGCAAATGAGCCAAATCCGTTTCCGCGACCGCCTGTTTACCGGAAACCGGTTTATCGGAACGCAAGGCCCCGACACGTAACGAACGATAAAACGAGCATCTCGCGGAGAGGCCGCTCCTTTCGGATAAGGACGACGCGGCCGGACGGGACTCTCCTAGAGCCTCAATAGTACAGGACCTTATTTAGAATCGCGCCGTTTCCCGAGCGCAGCACAAACGGTGCGTTAGAGCACCGACACGCCCTCGCGCGTATGGTATAATCTCGTATGTTGTTGTCGAACCGAGCGATTCCGTGTATCTTCGATTTTCGTTGCATTATGTAAAATCTAATTGACGAGTATAAGTATCTCAGCCTTCGATATTCGACCTCGTGGATGATCCACTTTAAAGCCTTGTGTTCCACGACCCAAGAACCGCAGCTTTTCCCTAAAATATGCACGTTGATTGACTACACGTTTCTCGGAAGAGAACTTGGTCGCAGCTCTTGGATCGTGGACACAAGGCTCTTAACGACTCTTTTATTTCTTTCCTGGAGATCGAAACGAAGGACTCTGGTTCATTTCCTTGTGTGTGATGCATTAATCTCTGGGCATACTCGTAGTTTTAGGGCACTTGCAGCTTTTCCGTAAAAGACGCAAGTTGATTGGCTACACATTTCTCGAAACTAGGACTTGGACCAAGTTCTAGCATCGCGGAACAGTCCTTTAAAGTCTTGTGTCCACGATGCCAGAAATCGGTCCGGGATCTCGATTCGAGAGATACGTGGCCAATCAACTTGTATCTTTTACGGAAAAGCTGCAAGTTGATTGGCTACACATTTCTCGGAGCCGAAACTTGGACGCGAAGCTTAACAACTGTGGATTCGCGGATTCTCGCCTGAAAATTTCTTGTAAATTGTATAAAAATCGACGAAGTCGCGGAGGACCCGAACGTTTGTAGAACACGTTCCTTATCGTCGGAAGAAAAATTAGAGCGAACAGCTGGAGGCCGCGTTGCGCAAGTGGGGAAAAGAGCGATTAGCATTATCCGACGAGCTTACAATCGGCGCTTTATCGCACAATCTCTACCGCGAGCGTACGCAACCCGGCTGATCCCGACTGGCGCGTAACGCGACGCAATCAATTTTTTTGTCGTTCGGCAAATCAAATCTAATGCGGACGTACGCGCGCGTGTAAACTCACACGCGCGCGCACGTACGTACGTAATAATGGATCAGTTCTGCCGCGTAGATCAAGTTACGTGATCGCGCAACAATCACGGCAATTATGGACGAGAGATCAGTCGATACCGTGCGCGATCATCCCGCACGAACGGAAAGAGGGAGAAAAGAAGCGCGCGAGAGAGAGAGACGAAGAAATTCGCAACATCGACCCCGGACTTCGGCTCCGATTGTTTCCATGACGCAAGAACACTCATCCGGTCTTTGGCAATTTTACTTTTTAACGCGCAGTTATCGCTTTCGTTGAAGCCGCACGTTTCGGACGTTCTCCACCGCTAATCCTACCTTGCTTCGTATCAACGTCGTAGCAACGTGATTATTCTTCATTGTTGACACTTCACCCGGTGCTCGGTATTACATTTTACATAATGTGATGCGCCAAGTGTTTCCGAAATGTTTCAAAATAACCCAGCGAGAAATCGGCATCAACACCGTTAAAACTGACGTCGACCGGACATCGTTTCGACATCGATCGACGAATCATTTAACTCACTGGTAAATGTGAGATCGCGCGTGCTTTTCGGTGGAAGCAGAGAAATCGATGCCCTAAAA